AGGGTTTAGGGTTTAGGGTGCAGTGGAAGTTTCTGAGTGACTAGCCACCCCGGGCTAGACGCCTCGAGACCTAGGAAAGTGGATCTTGAGAATCTCATGTCTGCAATTCAACAGACGGAAACCGCACCCTTGATACGCAGGTTTTACGGTTCACTGTTTCGGGCCGCCACAAAGCCTCGTAACCCCGAGTGACCGAACACATATGTGCTGAAAGCGGCCGGGTCCGGATTTTACGGGGGCTTGGATCGGCTCGAGTCCAATCCCGCGCTGGCACAATCTGTTGAGAGAACCGATCTCGGATTCACTCGGGCGAGAAGCTTGGCAGCACTCTTTCTCGCATCTCTCCATATTGTCTAAAGCCAAAGCTATGTGCAACAGCGCGTCCAAAGGCACAGTCTTGAGCCATCCTATGGGCGCGAATCCAGCATCTGTACATTGAGTTTAAAACTGTGTCAACGGCTGCAAACCGACCATTGCTTGTCGAGCACGGCGACAGGACTTGCTCAATCCTTCGAGTGTTTATGTCCTTAAGATCACGGTTTAGGGTTTAGGGTAAATCCCACTCTGCAAAGATGCTTCAACGTTCGTTAGCTCTTCCTGCCTTGGGGAATCCTGTGAATGCTTGCTGGCTTACGACTTTCGGGATACGAGTTGCAATTCGCCCAAATTTCTGATCGGAGGGTGCACGCACCTGTATGTGCAGTTACCTATTTTCAAGACGCACGAGATCTTGTCCTTTACAACGCTCGCTTGTTGACAGCCTTGTCTCCTGAAATCTTTTCACCTTGAGCCGCGCTTTGCCTGAACTGTGTCGTGCCTTCTGGAGATGATGAATCCTGTATACCTAAACCCCCAAAAGTAAGTAAAATAATGGTCCAAAACCCATAAAAATGCTATTCTTCTACATACTTTTGGGGTCCAGGTATGGGGATTTCTTCGATTAACGACTAATGGGCTCCTACGTGTGGTCCCTGTTGTCTTGCAGCTGCACAACACATTGTAAACCGCAGTCCTGACTCCGAGCTACGGTCGTGGTCATGACGCAACCACAAAGAATTCATCACTCTGCGGCGTCTGCAGCTTGCTCGTCTCCAATCGCCGCCGAGTTGTCCTGAAATCTGCTGCAAGCTTTGGGTTAGGGCCAAATTACGGCCTATGCAGCAGCCGGGGTTTAGGACAAGAGTAGCTCCGGCGCCTTCACCAGCTCGACTTCGGCATCGCGGGCCTTCGTCATTCGACAAGCCCGTGTCAGCAACAGCAAGAGCAACTACCACGACAATGACGACAACGACCAGAACAACGAACATCAAAAGACAACAAGCAATCCAACAAGCAGCACAACAAGCAACGCGCAGCCAACACCCAGCAACATCCCCCGAAGATCAAAAACACCAGAGAACAAACACCAAACAACTGATACCACAACCTTCGCCGCGGCCAGTCCCGGATCACAACTAGCGCCGGCACCAGCACCAGCAGCACCAGCACTGCCACCACCACGACGAAGACAACAACAGCAGCACTGCACCCTCGCATATTCTAGCCTGACCTCTGTTTAGTATGTATGATTTCATGTTTGCTGCCTATAAAATAGGTTTATCGGCGAGACCCAACTGTATGAGGACAGTGCAATGTCAAGGTGCTGCAGCATAGCTGAATAGAGCGATAATTAGGTTGGACAGTTGAGGAGTTCGCATCATCGCTGCACTGATCATAAGTTGCCCGATCTCATACTGTCCTCTATGGAGACATGGGACTACAAGTTCATGAACATCATGCACTGATGAAGCTTGCGTCAAGTCTTGCTCTCCATGTCCGTCCAAGAAGGGTGCGGCAGTGGGCGACAACATAGAGTGCTTTCGGACGCGTTGGCACAGCCGAGGCTCTTTTTGAAACCTTTTGACTGCTTTGCCTAGACTCGAAATGGGAGTTTCCAGAAATCAGGGGTAACTATTTTGGGGTCCTTATAGTAATGGTCCTACTATTTAGGGTACTATATTAGAATCCCCTACTTTCTGAAACTCCCGAATAATTCTTCACGAAGAACCCCGTGAGCCCGTGGATTTGAAACTTACCTGGACCCTTAAAGTATGTAGAATAATAGCCCTTTATGGGTTTTGGGCCATTATTTTACCTACTTTTGGGGGTTTAGGTAAACACTCGCCGAAGCCTCGGGTCCCTATGGTGACTGTGGTGACATTGCTGGTAATGACACAGGATCCCACGGTGGTGCTAGCGCAACCCGGAACCGTAAACCAAAACCCCTTGAACCCTAGGCCACTAAATTTAAAAACGCCTTTAAACCCAAAACCGTTTTGATACTAAATCCGAAACCATCCCAAGCCCCTTCAACCCTCGAAGGAAGGCACCTGGGACTGTGAGTTCGCCCCGGCGCGGAACATCGGAGCTCGCGCTTCTCGACCAAAGTCCCTGCACACACTCGAAGACGAGGGTTTAGGGTTTAGGGCTTAGGGTTTCAGGTTTTTGGTTTACGGTCGTCCAAAGGTGGCAAAGAGTTGCAAAAGAATTGCAGTTGCCGTAGTCGTGGCAACAAGATCAGCAACAGCAGTAGTAGTGTCAGCGGGATGACTGATGAAGAAGTTGAAGATACGACCGTGATAATGATGAGTGCTGTCATCAACTACTTCTCGAGGCATCACACATACGGTGGAACTCAGGTTCTCGCGTCCCAGTCTTCGGGAGTCAGTATTGTTGCTATCGTTACTCGAAGTATGATCACCCCAATTATGTTGGCATCCGATTAGACTTCTCGTAAGAGGGTATAAATAACTACGACATTCCTCTCTTTGTCGTTCTTGTTCTGAGTGTCCTGCAAGTTTTGAGATTTGGAAGGGACCTGGCCGAAACAAAGGGCCGGATGAGGTGTGTTTGTCTCGAAGATGTCCTTACCTTTCTGCTGCCTCGCTGCACTAGAACGAGAACCAGCATAACCGACAAACACAATAATCTCCAAGAGCTACAACAGGCATGACAGAAATGGTATGAACCTCCTAAACCCTAAACCCTAAACCCCAAACCTTCACCTCCTAAAACCAAAGGATCCCAATTTAACTGCCGCACTTCCTGGCTGCGCCTGTCTTCCAAGTCTTCGACGTCCAGCGGCCCTCGGACAGGCGAAGGCTGCGGTCTTAAGCCGAAGTACCATAGGTCATTATATATATATATATATACATATATATATATATATATGTGTGTGTCTACATGTATATTAAAGATAGAACCATAGTGCGAGGGCGGTAACCAATTGATCCACCGTTTCTGCTACATAAATCACTACCGCGGTCTCACTTCCCCCACTTCACTTCGGCAAGTCCTCCTTTCATTCTGTGGTTTCTGTCTCCTCTCCGTCTCGCGGCTTCTACGCGCATTCTAGTCTCTCAACACACAGCACATTCACATCGACAACCTTCCGCGAGCATTGCAACCCAGACAACAAATTCAACCATGAGCACAACGTTGAATGTTCCTCGATTGGACCTGAAACCAAGAGGGTCCATATATACTACCATTATGGAATTAGGTCCCCAAAACCATATTAGGGATGGTCTTTTGGGACCTACTTCCATAATGGTAGTGTATATGGACCCTCTGGGAAACAAACCTGAAACAAAGAGGATCCAGCGGGCAAGATTTCCGGGGAATCTTCAATGTTCTGTGTTCAAACGAAGACAAAGTTGATTCCGGACCTTGTCGGTTTCATCGCTTAGTAGAGAGGTGACAAATTCTCATCAGTTAGTCTTCACGAATCCGTTGCGCAAAAAGCTGAAAGGATTCTGCATGTAACTAGACTTCGCCAAACCTAGCCGAGATTTCCAATTGTTCCGTTGTTCTGGGACATACAAAACGACTACGAGGCATAAATGCCGCGAAACAGCGTGTGTTTACACGACAGATAGCCGCTGTTGTGGATTGTAGGCGTGCAGCTGGTGAAGAGGGCCTGGTCACATGGTACACAATGAACATGAGAACAGCTCGATAGTGACATGTAGGTTTTTCCGTAAGAAGATTTCGATGAGTTGTGATATGAAACATGCAGAAGATTTCGGTTCCTGTCCTGACATTTTCCAAGGTGAGGACGAGCTGGCGCTGGATAACAAGGCCGTGGCACGATTTCTACAAGACACAGACAGGCGGACTGGGCGGGGGATAAAGACTCCGTAAATGGCGCCTATATGACCAGAGCACGGATGACCGGCAACGGTGGCGGAAAGCAACTACAGTACACAAAGATGACTGAGAGTTCTTACAAGCTGTATTGCCAGAAGCATGTGACAAATGTGTACGGGTTTCAGGAGAACAGAATCAACGTACTGATTGAGTAATAGTCAATCATCGAGTCCACTACAGCATGCAGAAGTGGTAATTCACTAGTTGAACCTTCAACCGAACTCGATTCCAGCGCACGAACAGGGTAGCGGCCTTACCAATCATAAGGGTGCAGCGAATAGATTAAGACAGCAATGGTTGGAAGCTTAGGGTCCTCAACTAATCGCAGGTGCAGCGTGAACCACTTGCCCGAGCCATGGTCGATATAAACTCGGTAAGTTTGGGGCCACTCCAACCATATAGGGGCCTTAATAATTAGAATATGGTTTTGGGGCCCATCATACTATAACCTACATGAAGGCCACAAGCATCTCCAATGGACCAATTCGACTTGAGTGGTTGAAGTGCTCAGGGGCCTCACCAATCATACAGCCAAAACCCGAATGACGGCATAGAGTGTTGGAGCAATCTAGAATAAGGTTTTGGGGTACACGGTAGTATAGAATCCAGGAGAATACTTTCGCGTAATTCTGTTGATTTTTACATTCACGGTTTAAGGACCTGACCCGACTTTTCCACAAGGAATCGGAGAGGGTGGGGGGGCATATACATATGTTAATTCAGAAAATCAGAAAATGTACACATGTACTTGTATATACCTATATGTACACACATACATACATATATATATATATATATATGTATATGTCATGTGTAGGTAAAATAATAAAAGAAGTGTGTATATTGCACATAAGATGATCTTCCTTCCTCGAACCCTGGTTTTCGGGCTCTTGACTTCCAGCAGCAAGGGTCCCTGGGTCAAACGTTGAAGATGCCATTCTTGGAGGTCCATGGGTAGTTATAAACGGGGTTATAAGTAGGGTAACTATACTTGTAACCCATATTGGGGGACTTATAACGCCACTTAGAACTACCCATGAACCTCCAAGTTCTCTCAACCTCACCGTTCACCGTCTCTGCTCCTGCCATGGCTTGCGTATCCAGATTGCCGATTGCTGGCGTTCGGAAGGGATCACCTGGCCACCCTATGACTTGGCCAATGCTCGGAGTGGGATGTGAGTATATGTGAGTGGCGAATCTGGTCCTCCGTTCTTCACTCAGAACCCGGCCAGGGCCGACCCTTGAGCAGATCCTGGAAAACTCGGATGCTCAGGGCTGTGTGCACTGGGCTCTCACGGCACCCAAGAGCCAGCGAACAGAGGCGGCAAAGCCCCAGGGTGCGTCAGAGAGCTTGAAATCTTCGGCCATGCCTTGAGTCAGGGGGTCGATGTAGTAGTTGTGGCTTGGGGTGCGTCCCACCTCGTCCTCGGTGAACATGTAGAACCCAGAGCCATCCGGCTGGATGCAGTTGTTACTACCACAGTCGTAGCCGGAACTGCTGACACACTTGATTCGGGAGCCATAATGCCGATCTTCGCTCCCAACGGTGATTCGTCGTTTGGATCTCTCCAGCTCGAAGTCGTGATTCATTAAACACTGGCCCTCGAAGAGTATGGAACCTGCGATGGAAAGCGCAGCTGAAACATTGGCATTGAAGTTCCGCAGCTTCAAAGCGATTTGGCCACCCAAGCTGAAACCGACCACGGCCACCCCCAGAGCACAGTTCATGCCAAGGTCTGGCCGGTCGCAAATTTGGCGCAGGCCCTCGCCGACTTGCTGGCTTCGGTGATCAAAGTCGCCGCAGCCTCCCGGATAAGCCTCGTTGGTATATTGGAGGGACAGCGCTGTGAAGCCGCTCTCGGCTAAGTAGCGGCATGCCTCCACGCCGAAGGCGTCATTGTGAGCCCTTCTCGTGCCGTGTAAGAACACGGCCAGCGGCCCCTCACCGCCATGGACCGGTCGGTACCCGGTCGCCGCGAAGCGCTGGCCTTCAGAGGTGTAGTTGAGCTCCAAAGGCACCGGAAGCGCTTGCGCCACTGCCCAGAGCTGAAGGAGCCGAAGGCTCGGCATCGTAACACGAAGAGCAGTTCCTGACCATACGTGTGTGTATACATATATATATATATATGTATATATGTATGTATGTATGTATGTATGTATGTATGTATGTATGTATGTATACATATACGTACATATATCGAGCTGTAGGTGCCACCTTCACAATTATGGGAGCTGAGATTGGCATTGGTTTCCGTCGTAGTTGCAGCACCCTTTGACTCATGGCTGCGGCACCAAGAGCAACGGAATCACAGAGCGAGACAGGTCGAAGTGTACCTGGCGCATCCTGCAAAAAGCCCGCAACGAAGCTCCGGAGGCCGGGCTCAAAGGGGAGTCGTGGTCTGCACCTACTCGGGGGTTCATGGGTAGTTATAAATGCAGTTATCAGTAGGGTAACTATACTTATAACCCATTTTGGGGGGACTTATAACCCCACTTATAACTACCCATGAACCCTAAACCCCAAACGCTATAGACCCCTTTAAAGGAACCCATATCAGGGGACTTATAACCCCACTTATAACTACCCATGAACCTCCACCTAAGGTCTCCCAACCTCAACGACATTTCTTCGTGGAGCTGAGATCGGGACCGTCCATGGTATCTTGACCGAAGTAGCAGATGACTATCGCCACCTGAGGGTTTTAGGGTTTAGGGGTTTAGGGTTTAGGGGAGGAATTTCTCTGGACTTAAGGAATTGCCCGGAAGTAGCACGGGTCGTTGCCTTTTGGCTTGTTTGTGCTTGCATTTAGAGCTGTGCCGCATGAGCTTAAGCGTGGATGACATACTTTGCTGCCAGACTGTCAGTTGTAGCCTTGTCCGTGCATAAAATAGCGGTTTAACTAATTACCAATACTATTCTAGGGCTCCTTAGTTTAATTGTGGTCTAAGATTCCCCAAAACTCTCATCATTCTAATCATTAAGGCCCCTGCATTACCCTGCTGGGAGCCCGGACACCGCAGGCCATGGCCAGGAGAGCGAGGAAGATGGATTGCGCCGAGTGCGAACTTTCACTGCGCGGGGCTTCTCATGCAAGGATTTAGGGTTTAGGGGCTCTGGATTTAGGGTTCAGGGAAAATGTTTGGGGCTTTGGGTTTAGGGTTTAGGGAAAAAGGGTTTGGGAATTAGGGTTTAGGGTTCAGGTGTCAAGGAGTGTGCGGGCGCTCGGCGTCGGGGAAGTTAAGGACATTTGCAGATTTGGACCGGCTCTTGGTCTACCACCATCGCGACGAATTACTACGGGGACATGCTGCTGCTGCCGCTACTACCACCACCGCCACACGTCTACTAGGTCTTGGAGAATGACAACTGGCACGAACCTGGCTCCTATCTGTTGGCTGTATCGTGATTCCCTTTGCTTCACGTCTTGGTTGATGCATCTTGAGCAGCCTATGTCCTATGTAAATGCGACGAGTCCGCAAGACCAAATCCAAAAATCCTCGTAGCAGTACCGCCATCCCCAATGCCACTGAAGACCTTGAGCCCGAAACCCCTACCCCTACCCCTAAAGGGCCAAACCTGTCCCTGTTGCCTCGGCTGGAAAGGCTGTAGTGGAACGGTTCCTCCATTAAAGGGTGGACCTCCTGGTGCTGGCTGGACCACCTGAAGCCAGAAGAGAACCCCAGGGCTGAGGCTTTACGTGTCGGAGTTACGGATTGAGGTGTAGGCTTGGGACAAGATCTAGGGTCCCTAGGTTGTGGCATGAGGCTTCGGGGTCTAGGGTTCACGGTGTGGGACCGTAAACGTGCAGAAGTTTTCATAGGGCTGGAGGTTACAAACGCGTCGCAAGTTCTGCGCTCTCTGCCAACCAGGTAATGGCTACGGTCGCACTCAAGCACTACTTGGAGGTTCATGGGTAGTTATAAGTTGGGTGAAAAGTCCCCTAATATGGGTTATACGTATAGTTACCCTAGTTATAACCCTATTTAGAACTACCCAAGAACCTCCAAGTACTTCAGGCTCCCAGCTTGAGGCTCAGATGGCAAGAAAGCTCTGCACTTCCGAGGCGTCAGGACGCAACATGGGCGGAGGAAGGGGACCGAGCAACTGGTTTGCCGCAGGCTGCAGGGTTGGAGCTGAGTTTAGACTTGGTCTATGCCTATTTGCTAGAGGACTCATTACGCACCGCAAAGGTGAATGAGGGAGCCGTAATATAGAATAGGGCTTTGGGGAAAACCATAGTATTGTTTATATGAACGTTCTTGCTACTTCCCTATGCAATTTTGGAAAGTGGCTAAGATAGTAGCTGTGGCGCTCGTCATTCTCAGATGTTCTTATTTTAAGCATGGCTGGCTCGCAGCCTTGGGACAACACTCAACTCCCTTTGAAGCTCTTTATATGGTAAATCAATTTGCCACACTGGCACGACTCAACTTCCATGGAGTCTTGACGTTAAAATACAAACCCTAAACCCTAAACCCTAAACCCTAAACCCTAAAAAGCCGCTGCTCCCCAACGAGGCCTGACCATCGTGCGAAGGAGGACCTCAGCTCGAATGAAGGCAGCAGGTCGCACGATAATTTAAGAGTCTTAAACCCTAACCCCCCAGGTACCTACTATATAGGGTACTAGAGCCCCTAGGGCCCTATATAGTAGGTACCTGGGGGGTTAGGGAGAGTTTAGGTTCTGGGCCCGTTTTATTCTGTTGACGATGAGTCGAGAGGGTGAACGTTGGGTTCACCCGGAACTGCATTGCGAGGGTGGCAAGTGATCACGGATCTGCTGACTGTAGCGGAGAGGAACTACATGGATCCATCTGTTCGTCTGCCTCTACGTGCGTGCATATGCATGCATGTCATGGACACTTCGATGCAGCCAGTTGCATAAACACGAGACAGAACCAGTACTGATCACAATTAACTTCAACTTAAAACTTAGACCATGCCGCGGGAGTTCATGTAGACCCCTGATTGATTACCAGTTCCTTCGTCAAAATGACGGCAAGGACAACACAACTGCGGCCCCCCCCCCCCCATAGCCTTTCCTTTGTGAAAAGGTGGTTCATCAATCACCTTCAAATCCGACACCAACCCCAACCCAGCCCGCAACCAAGCGATTCCATAGACTTGCCGTGCCTTGCAAGGAGAGTCCTGAATCTCAACCCCTAATCCATGAACCTCAGACCATGAGCCCTAAGCCTGCAAAAACAAGTGAAGAAATCATACTGCAGAAACCTACACAGTAGTCAGTAGGCCAACAACTGTGGGGCTCTTTGTACGGTACCCGCGGTCCTAAGAGCACCTTGTGATACAACCTTGTAAGAACCCTGCAGTGCCCTGCCAAATTCCTAGCGCTACCAACACCACTCGGCTCGGCCCCAGGCGAGGTGCGGGGCTGGCGCCGGTGTGCACCCCCTCCTTCGTGAGGACGTGCTGGACCTTCGAAGATGGGCTCCCTCACCGCTCACGTGCCGTAGGGTTATAAGGGTTCACGTATATTAATCTTACGGCTGCAAGGTTTGGGCCGGGGTCGTGCTGGGGACTTCCGGGGTTGTATGTGAGAATTTGAGTATTGAGCCAGAGTGTTGGGGAACAAGTTCATCCGGGTCCTGAGGTGCGACTTGCTAAGGGTGTCGGGGATTGGGATTTAAGTGAACTGCACCTTTGAAACACATGTCGTCGTGCATGATGGCCTGCTCACCATTAAGCCATGACAGCCTCGAGCCCCGGGAGAATGCCAAAGGCCATCCGCACATGGGACATACTATGCCTTGACAACTGCTCCAGTCACGAAGTTCCTCGTGTCAAAGAGATCTGGAAGTTGAATTACTAAGAAGAGGGCTTCGGGGTAGCAAACGACTACTATAATTGCAAACCTGACTGTGGAGGCTACTACCCCCTATGCTCATTGAAGCTCGTGTGCTGCTCTGCACTTACACCGCGGAGCTTGTGCAGTTGCCTCGTCGCGCTCATGACCTTCGAAGTCCTCAATGGAGAAGACGATACGCTTCACGCCAACGAAAGTGCTCACCTGGGAGTTCCCAGAGAACCCAATACCCCTTAATTAAGGAATATACCTTAAATCTTAATATTAGGGCCCCTAGAATTTAAGGTATATTCCTTAATTAAGGGGTATTGGGTTCTCTGGGTTTGAGTGATGAGCCGAAGAGGCGTGGAGGCCGTTGAAAATGACATACCATCACATGGGTGGTTCTCTAAATTAGGGTCCCTTTTTAGGTCCCCAAAATAGTACGGCACCCTTTATAAAAAGGACCCTGAAAGGGACCCTAATTTAGAGAACTGCCCACACGGTATGAATTGCATAGGAGCCCCTTGAAGATGTCGGGGGAAGAGGAGGGAGACTGAGGCAGTCCGTTAGTTTGGGACTTTAGCGTGGGAAGTCCGAAGGTGCCCACAACCAACAGGTGGTTCAAGAGCTCGAAGTCTTACTTACCCTGGCCACTGACTATGGGGCGTGTCTTAAGGCGGGGGGGTCCTTGGGGGGGAGGTTGGAATACATGATTCATTATTCCCAGAAGGAGGGGGGGTGTCCGGACTCTAACCTGGTCCTTTAAGGATCTGAAGTTTGGGACGAGCAAAAGAACCTGTACGTCTCCATTAGGGGGGATCGCCGTGATTGGAGTGATGCGGACCATTCGAAATCTCAGATATTGCCCGAAATGACATCTGGGCGAGCCGTTATCACAGGCTATGCGAAATTGCACGAGTTGCCCCAGGCACTGAGGAGGCGATAGAGTTGGCGTCTCTTTTTTTTTCTGCCCCTCCTAAACCCTAAACCCGAGGTTCCAGCAAATCTCCGCCCGAGGATAGAATAACCCCTAAAATCCCTAAAACCCAAACCCGGAAACCCTGAACCCCTCAACCCCAAACACAAGAACCCCAGGCCCAGAAACCCTGAACCCCGAAGCCCTACACCCAGAAATCACAAACCGGAAAACTCTGAACCCCTCAACCCCACACACAGAAACCCAAGCCCAGACACCCTGAACCCGGAAA